TTCGCCTCTCTATTAATGTGCTTGGACACTGAGCTCTGTGAACAGCCAGCCTCTTTAGCGATGACCTTTTGTGTCTTGCCCTCCTTGTGCAAGGTGTCGATGGTCGTCTTTTGGACAACTGTCAAGTCAGCAGTCTTCCCCATGATTGTGTAGCCCCGCGGTTCTCAAAGTGTGTGGCGCGACCCACTGGTGGGGAATTGAGACGTGACAGGTGGGGCGCGCCAAGTTCCGGTGTGTGTGTGTGTGTGTCTGTGTGTGACTATAAATGTAGAATGTGTGAGAGCAAACTGTCCTTATAGCTGTATGTTGCCGCTTTTTAGACCAATCAAACCCACAAAGTAATCATTACTAGCCTACATGCAGTCTAATTAAAAGAACATTAGATATGAGAAAAATTTCCCCTGGAACTGAAGTGCCAAAATAATGATTGACGTGACGTCGGCATATTATTTGTAACAGAATAAACTTTCGCGCCCCAGTGTTGCCAACTCAGCGACTTTGTCGCTATATTTCAGACCCCTCCAGCGACTCTTTTTCAAAAAAACAAATCTAGCGCCTTTTGGAGACTCTTACGTGAAAGCACGTATCGTTCCTTTTCTTGTCCTCCAGCGGCAGGTGCTGCCGTGGGGCGCCTCCTCCGTCCCAACCCCGTTCTCCCCCGCTATTGCAGGAGTCCCTATCAGCGCTGCAGTCAGAGCAGAGACACAGCATGTTTAACTTTTGCGTCCAGACTGCAAATAAAGCGCACATGCGCCGGGATTGACGGCGCAGGTTGATCATAAATAACTGAATTTGAAATATTTTATCTTAAATAAATAACGGCGTTTGATTCACACAGCCACATGTTAATGTTTCTGGTTAGGAGTGGAGAGCGAGTATCCACTCATCGGGCAGAGAGCTGTGTGCATTCTTCTTCCCTTTGCCACATCATGTCTCTGTGAGATGGGCTTTTCAGCTGCTGCTTCAATGAAAACAAAATACAGATCTCAGCAGAACATTGAGCATGACTTGAGAGTGGCAGTATCAAGCCTGCAACCCCGTTTTGAGAAACTGTGCAATGCAAAACAGGCTCATTGCAGCCACTAATGCAGGGATAAATAGACCTGTCTTGCCAGATGGATTTCACTTCTTTTCTTTTATTAACAGATTGCAGAGTGGCACTTTAATTTTTTCTATCTTTGAGCTTGATACAAATTTTGACACAGCTGCATTTTTATTTTCTTTATTTTTGAGCTTGCTGTTATTTGATGTAGATTTGTATTTAGATACTACTTGTTACTTCAATAAAATTGGAACATTTTAAGATTGTTGAATATTTCATTAGCATTGTGTTGGGGCGATGGGGACAGGCGGGGCTTGAAAATTCCCCCTTGTCCAAAGTGGGGAATGACAGAAAAAGTTTGAGAACCACTGGTGTAGCCTATAGAACTAGACTGAAAGACCATTTAAAGGCTTTTGCAGGTGGTTTGAGTTAATTAGCTGATTAGAGTGTGGCACCAGGGGCCATCAATTTTGAACCTTTTCACAATATTCTAATTTTCTGATATGATGAATTTGAGATTTTCATTTGTTGTCATTTGTAATCATCAAAATTAAACAAAATAAACATCTGAAATATATGAGTTTGTATGTAATGTATGAATATAATATACAAGTTTCACTTTTTAAATGGAATTACTGAAATCAATCTACTTTTTCATGATATTCTAATTTTATGACCAGCACCTGTAAACCTTAGTGTATATTCAGAGAGCAGGTTGATCTGAAGTCACCACAGTGAAACTGACATACAGGACTATATATATAGTCCTAAAAACATTATATAGTCTTGTTAAGACACAGAGGTCCTTCAGCATTTGCAACAAGATGCATCATATCTTCTATAACTTCCAAAACATATAGATCTGTTTTCTTTGAAACACAAGTCTTATCTAAAGGGTTTTTCAAGGGAGAGCACTAACGAGTCCAGGTCATTTAAAGGTTATTTACAAACCAACATGATCAGAAACTGCGTAGTGTTTATGTCCCAATTTGACTGTTGTCTTTAATATTTTCCCTAGAGCTGAGGTGTTTTTTTTCCACCATATCTCACTTCTTGTCTGACTCATGACGGTCCTGTCAAGTTGCAGCGTAGGTCCAACATAAATAGACTCTTGGTCTCTTTAGTAAATGTTTACAGCATACATAAGATGTAGAGCTGGCTGTAACAGCAGCATGTAACTAATTGCAATCAGCTTAAGGCTGAGGATTAAAAAAAAGTGTATATGCTTTTAACTACTGACAACTACTTATTTGTTTTACTTTTTTAAAATCTATTTTACTTCTTTTATGTTTTTGAAACTGTTTTGTTGTTTTTATACAATTTTATTTTTTCAGCATGTACAGCACTGTGTTGCAGTTCTGGTTGTTTTAAAGGGCTGTATAAATAAAGTTGAGTTATGTTGAGTTGACTGAGAAATTGTCCAGATAATAGCAAAAGTGGAAGACCTCTTCCTGAATAGGCTCTCAAATAACACCAACAGTACATTATACAGAAAAAAATATGCTCCTAAGTTAGTGGATGATTTATATCCCGGCAATAAGACAAAACCACAGAATATGGTTGGATAGAGCTTGTTGAAAAAGCCAAAGGATAACCACACATAATATCAATATCTGTGTATCTGGTTAAAATATAAGAACAAGCTGTCCATTAATTATTGCAAATTTAGGAGAAACTAAACTTTGAAGCCTCTGAGCAGGTAGAGACTTTGCTTCCCTTAATCCATACATAGCTGTCAGCTCAAAACCATTTCCCACAAACAGAAGGAAAAATAAGTCAGGATGATCAAAATTTTGTGTTTTGGTCAAAATAATGATGATATATGAACACTTTGTCTCGTCAACGTTTCGTTAATAATGTTCTTCACTGATCCTCCTAAAGCAAGACCCACTTTTTTATCTAAATGTTTGGATAGGGTTAAGTCAGACAAACCCTTTTTTGTGAGCGACTTCCTTCCTGACAGGGGATCACCGGCAGATGATGATTAAGGGCTTTAATATCTCCACCTCTGATTCAGTCGTCTTACTGCGGCTAAACGTGGCGTCCCGGTGTGCAGTAAGGGTGACTTAGCTGTCTGTGACATGATAAATGCAGCAGTTGTTCATGCATGTATGCTCAAAGATGGATGACCCAGAACTTTGGATGTGTGTACCAATCATTACAGTTTGCACACGTGCTTTCTCTCTGTCAAAATACTTTTAAAAGAATCTTTATTTCTTCTGCTGTAAGAAATCAATGTAGTGTGTAGCAGCATTTCTACTGTACATCCTTCCTTTATGCTCATATTTATCCACACAGGGGTAAACATATACTCAGGATTAAAGCACTGAGCTTTTATTAAGTAAAATATGGAGAGTGTAATAAAACAAACATGACGGTGGAGAACTCACTCTGTCTGGACAGTTATACAATATGGTGTTTACACACTTAATCATAATACACAATCCTTAATAAGCAAGAGATGTACCTAATAGACCTACAGGACTCTATGTTCCACAAAATAAATGACAGCACAGTATAGTTGTTTGAAAAAAAGTGGAAACATCTGCCTCAAGACAGCTTATCACTGTGTTTCAGGGAAGCCAGTACTAAAATTCTACTTCAAATATTCTAGGAAACATTTCTTCACTGTACAACATACTTTTCAAACCAGAATCTGAACAACGTTTGGATGTATAAACTTGTATTTCTGGTTATATAAAAATATGTGTCAGCCAGATGTTCCAGATTTAAGACCCACTTTTTGGAAATTTAAACTGAAAAAAGAAAAATGAAAAAAAAAGGTAAATAATATGCATATCAAAAATAATATCCACATAATATGATATCCTGATTTTTGTGCTTTCTTTCTTGGTTCAGTTCCAGCTGTCAGAAGCTGTTGACACCTCTTTGATTGTGCCTCAATCCACTCTGAGGAACATCTGACAGTGCGTGCCTATGCCTGGACCCACATTTGAATAAGCCGGCTGTGTTTACAATATGAGCCAGCGATCACACACAAACACTCCAAAGAAAAAAAATAAATAACGGTGTGAATTTCTAAAGCGCAATGAACACTCTTGACAGTGTTATCAGTAGTGTGCTGGTATGTTGACTTTGTAATATATAAGCAGTATGGTAGAAGATCAAGGCGAGAATGTGTCTTCAGGCTCACATTAGAGGTTGCATTGAAACAGTCAGTTTCCGGCTTTGATCTGCACTTTAGAAAGGATTGCCTGCCTGAATTCTTAAGAAAGACTTTTCTAAGTGAGCGCTGTGCAAAATGACAGATTTTGCACTCGAACATCTCTGTGCTGTATCCACAAAAAGATTTAAATTTGTACTGTTGCTGTTTAAACTGCACCTTCCTCTTCTTATTTTTATTTTTTTCTACTTTAAGCTGTTATGGCTCTCTTTCCCCGTACGCTCCAAGGTTTCACGTGAGCCTTGTAAACTAATTAATGCAGTAAAAAACACATTAATCAGATGTTTCACTGTTTATATGACAGTGACAAAAGGCTCAGCCTCCAGCTGTCGGATTTGACAGCTCGCTCTGAAGATGACTGTACTCAGGCTAAGTCCAGCCTTGGCTCCTTGTGCTGCCCAGCCTCCTGTCATCCTGTGTACTTGAAATGTGTTAGCATCATTACAGATGGCCTCCGTAAATGCTGCTGACAGAGGTATAACTATCTCCCATAACTTTTTGCTCTCAGCGGCAGATGCTCTTTGCCAGACCCTAAAATGAACAATTATCATTTGTCATTTCTTTCTGCGGCTGCCAGAGACCTGGATGTAGACCAAGCTGTTCAAAGACCAGGAACCCTCTCAGGAGTCTGATTGCCACACATCATTAGTCAGCTTTGATCTGTCAGATCCAGAAATGTGTTAAAAAGATGATTTGCGTTACAGCACTGTTCATAAAATCTGAAGGCTCTTGCTAAAGTCTGTTTTTCATTTATTTGTTGTGATGTTGTTGCAGAAATCCCTCGCCAACACTTCGAAATCCTGAGCAGTGGTGCAGAGGTTTCAACTATTTCATCAGTCAGTAAGTTTTAATAATTACATTTAAACATGTTTTCTGCATGTTTTAATGGAGCACTAAGTTCCTTTTTCGTCACCTATGTGAGACATTTCCATACATAGATCTTTCCCCAGAAGGTTTGCACACCAATAAGTCACATAAAGTAACACTTAAAAGTTATAAAGGCTTCTTTATCTTCTGTTGTTATAGTGGTTGAACACGTGATAACATGATGTTAGATGTGAAAAAACAAACATGTGGCTTTGTTAAAAAGATAAAAGGGTCTATATAATTTTATTGCAATTTATTTTCCACTTTTTTCTATCTTATCAAAAAAACATGCAAAGAGAACTTAAAGAAAATCAAAGCTGAAAAAGAAGCCAGAAACTGCAATTAAGTGATGAAGGCTTAACTTGGCTATCAGTAAATAAAAATATTTACCCAAAGTAACAACAGGAAGTTATATTTAGGTACAAAGGACAGATATTTGCTCTTGGTTATATTTATCCATCAAGGAGGAGGAGGAAGTGAAGAAAGATAATATTGAAGAGCAGTAGGTTGGAGACTTGTCAAATCTGCTCTTTATTGAGGGAAATTAAAATCCCTTTAATTTGTACCAAGTCTGTCTATCCTTCACCACAGTGATATAGCTCTTTGTACCAATTTGGAAATGTAAAAATATTTACAGTATCAGATCAATTTCTGCTCATGTTTTTTATCAATATGAGTCTGATATGCACATTAGCACACTGTGATTGTGCACCCTTTACTTTCCTCCCAATAATTAGTCATTGTTTTACCCATTCATAACAATTATTTTGTTTTAAAAACATTTTCAATGATAGTTTAATTTCTCAAATGAGCCCCTTTGCAGGCTTTTACCCTACCGCTTCATGTATGTTGGCTTTAAAAAGTCACTTTAATCATGCTAAATGATTGGCAGATACAAGGAGGCTAAATAATGATGTTTGATCAAACAAGTGATGCAGTCAACCACTCTGTGACCCACACATGAAGCTGCACAGCAGAGGCTAATTATTTATTGCAAACATGCATGAGGGTCATCTGGAGAGAGTTGTTACTCAGCAAATTAAATCTGTTGACATCAGTAAATGTTTTAAGCTGCAAAATGTTTATACTCACAAGCAGTAGCTGCAGTCTTCCTATAGCTGTTGATTCACTGCTTAAGAAATATCTAAATGCTGTGTCCTAATTGGATGTGTCCTCTTCCCTCAGGTGTGGCTGATTTCTGTTCTTTATACATAATATGGTAAACAAAAAAATGCACTAAAGTTAAATATGTATATACTTTTATACATACTTATACTATGGATGCACAGATACAGAACGGAATGTCTTAGTGTGTAGCATTAGGAAGCTGGAATTTGACTTAAATAATAAAGAAATTAATACTCGTCCCAAATAACCACATAATTACCACCCGTTTCATGTATGTTACATATTTGAAGTAGTTAAGGTCTATGGCTATAAAAGTAATTCAAAGGTTTATTTCTGTTTAAAAGTTTAAACAGCTTTGTGAACTTTAATAATTTGTTTAAGTATAATACACATTTTTGTGCTTTTTCTTATCTTATAAAACCAAGAATATGTTTAATGCAACAAAGTGCGATCAAAGAAACAATATGTTGCGTTCCATTCAAATTTGGATTGGACTGTATGTGTAGGATATCAGAGAGCTTTACATTTAGGTGAAATTCAATTTAATTTATGGAACAAAAATATTTTGTTTTTTTTTTCATTTTGTAAAAATCAATAATACAGGATGGTTCATGTCTGAAACTATCAGTCAAGTAGTATAGTTCTTCAAATGCAAAACACCAAACAGGAGGAAGCAACATCTACCACATGATGGCAGTGATGAAATTGGATGAACATAGCTCCTGTTAATGTATGGGATGTTTTTTTCTTTTAAGTTAAGTCTTCATGAAATGTTTTAAAGCCAGATTTTTTTAATTACAAATTATATAGATGTCAGCAGCTCAGGGGGAAACTGCTAAACCTCAGACTTGTAAATACAGTATGTTATTGCTAAATCCAACAAAATCATTACTCAAACCATTTATACAGTCATTCCAATCACAACAGATATTAAAATAAAGCATTAAAAACATTTAGGGGAATATTTTAGTTCCCTTCTTACTTTTTTTTTATCTTCAGCATAAAAGATATTAATTATCTTTATAAAGAGGGAACCAAGAAATTAGTTGTTCAACAGAATCCAATGATTATCTGTTTCCCTGTGCACCAACACCAGCACTCATCAATTTGGAAGCTGTTACCGAAGGAAGAAAACATACATCATACAAAATGTAAGATTTGATCTGGATTATCACCAGTAAATGTGAAATCAAAAGAGTTATACTGCTAAAATAATTTTGAAAAAAAAATAAACATTATCAACTCTCTGGGGTGCAGGAGCCCAAACCGGTGTGGAAGTTTAAATGATTTTGGCTAGAAGTAGTTGAGCTCACCTCTACACACACCTTGGACTCTTTTACCCAGTTCCTTCAGAGATGTTGGACTTTCCTTTAATCTGGAGGGGCCCACGGGTAGAAGTGATGGCTGGTGGGAGTTTGCTTGTTATTCACAGCTTAGCTGTGTTGTCTAGGGGTTTGCCCTGGGGGATGAGAAGGTTGCTGCTTCCTCAGAAAGGGGAGAGGGCTCTGACTATTTCCTCAGCCTCTAGGCTAAGCACCGCCACACAGAGTACTTGGGCTTTTTAGTGTCCCTGGTAGGGATGCTGGACAGCCTCCCTCTCAGGGACATCATCAGCCTACTGGGGGATTTCAGCGCTATTAAACAAGATTTACACTTAGAGCTGTAGGCTTGGGAGGAAGGGACCCCTGGCTCTGAATCTGAGTATTGTTTCACTTCTGTTCAAGTCTCGAATTCTTTATAATGAACATGTTTAGGTATAGGGATGTCCATGGATGCTCTTGGCACCAAGACATTCGAGGTCTAGTTGAGTCCTTGCTCAGACACGTATTCAACTTCCACCTCCAGGAACACTCCTCTCAGATTCAATGGTAGGCTGGAGAAATAGGATCTAAGTAGATCATGTTCTGTGCCTCTATTGTGAATTTGGCTGCCTGTCATGGCAACAACTCTAGGACCTGCGATGGAAACCAGAAATAAAGAATTCAGTCAAACTGAAGAACAAGTCCTAGTGAGTATGGTTGGTGCGCAGGACTCCTGAAGCAGATAAAAAGCACTGTGAAGCCAAGTTTGGATTTGCCTGGAAAGCTCTAAGGCCAAAAACCAGGCATTGGAGGGTTAAGTGAGACCATGGAGAAAGAATCAGCCAGACTCAGGGGGATTCTGGTAAACCATATGGTACCTCTACAGAGGGAGAGGCAGTACTTTGCTAACACTAGTTACAGTATTAGTAGAAGATGGAAGATATACTTCAATCATTTCCTTTTCCCAGTGGAGGCAGAATTTAGGACCTCAGACTCAGACTGAAGTCACTAAGGGGGTCAGAAAGTGGTCAATATGGCAAAACTTCTGGAGGGGGAGGAAATCTTCCCTGACAATCTCAGGTCTCTGGAAGTCATGCTTGACACGCCTCTTTTACATTGTGTGGCATTACGAAACAGTGCCCCTGGACTGGCAGACTGGACTGGAGGTTGTGTTCCAGCTATTGTGGGATCACACTTCTTAGTCTCCCCGAGAAGGCCTATGCCAGGGTTTTGAAAGTAGACTGAGTGTCAAACCTCAGCTTTATGAGGAGCTCTGTGGTTTTCAGATCCAGTGGATGCCTGCTATATGCTTCTCTTGGAATGTGTTCCAGGTACTAGTTCATCAGTTGGGCTCGGTGCAGTTCAGTTCTGGTTCAGTTTTCAGATAACAAAGAGTGCATGAGCAGACCGCACCGTCTCCTTACAGTCCGCCTCCGTAATCATGAAATATTAGACATTCATAAAAATACCAGCTTCCCTACCGTGCAACACAATTTCCAGTGATGATTCTGCTTCTGATGAGTCTGAAACTCAACATCTGTTGTTCTTTCCTGCATCTCTAAGCCCTGATTAGACTATCGTTTGTCGTATCCACTTCCCAAAAGCCGACTCTGTCAAGTAAATTCACCAAAGGCTGCCTTCTGCACCTGACTCTCCGCAAACAACGAAATATCACAATTATAACCAGTAGTACTGTAGATAGTCACTAGGAGGCAAGGAGCCGTGCTAGTGTGGTGTGTAAACAGTCATAAGGAACCAAGCTCGGCACGGTTAACTAATCCAAACATGGTCTGAACTTGGCACGGATCAGTTTTCAGAGCGTAGTGTAAATGGGGCTTTAATCTATATCAGGACTATGTTTCTCTGCTGGTCCTGGAAAGCCTCTGGCTTGTTTCTGGAGAGATCAAAGCCTGGGAACCTCTGCTGAGAGCAAAAAAATTAAAAGTGTAGAAAAACATTTATTGTTAGGGAATACACTGTACTTAAACATAAAATACAGTTTGTACTTCCTCTTTGTTCTGTCCTTAACTGCAAAACTTTACTGAGCAATATTATTCTTTTGGAGCTCACATTAATGCATATGATAACACAGAAGGACTAAATTCAGGTATTTTATTGTCAGATTATATCCACCCTCTTGTTTTTGCCTTTCTTGACTTTCATCTGCATTAATCTGCCACAGACTAAAATAGGAATTCACCTGAGTTATCTGTTTAATCTGAGGTCAAGATAACTTATCATTTGCGGCAGTGTGTACAGCTAATAATGTCAGGGTTGGTTCGTAGTGGCTCCCTGAAATTTACAACCATATATGACACAGACACCACTGTTCGCCTGGGCTGTAATGAGAAAATAAAATTCAATTTGTTGACTTTTTGTAGGCATGTTTTTTTGTCTAACATTTATGTTCCTATGGAACAAAGAGCAACTGAAGAAAACAGCAGACCATCTGCCTTAAGGGCCTGTTGGCTTTCCTGTGTCTCTCAGTTATTGATTGGTCATTGTGGTCCAGTCACCCTTACCCCTTTCTGCAGCACATAGTAACCATTTAGTTTATATATTTGGTGGCGCAGTCACAGTGAGGTTAATTGGATACTCTTTACTTGCAGGTTTGTAATTGTGTGATATTGTATCAACATTAATCTCCTTACAAAAGCCCACAAAAGTTGAATGCAGAGAGGCGGGACAATGTTATCAAGCTAAGCAGGCTGTTTGTAAAGCCTTTTTGCTACCTTTGTAGGCCTGTGTGTAAATGTGTGTGGCCTGTGTGTGTCTGTGTATGAGTGCTCAGAGGGAACGGGAGGAGGGATAATAAATCCATCACCACTTGTACAGCCAAAAACTGACTCAGTTGACAAACTGGTCTTCGCTCCACATCCTGGCAGCACAGCCTGGCTAATAGCAACAACCTCTGCTTAATGCCCTAACGCTAATGAATTCATGGAATTAGCTTTCAGAGCTGAACAACCTGATAAAAGAAACCAAATTTCTGCTGCCATTAGGTGAAAGGAAGTAGGTTGGTGTTTTTTTGTTTTTTTCTTACGTCGTTGCGGCCTGAACAGTCAAACACAATCAATGGGTGTCTTCTAAAAGGGTATACATGCAAATATATATATTTTTTTATCATTTTTATTTTAAATTGTTTAAAGGCTTGATATATATATATATATATATATATATATATATATATATATATATATATATATATATATATATATATATATATATATATATATATATATATATATATAATTAGCAAAAACTGATGGTGATACTTTTAATGCCAAGTTACTTTAAGTAACAAAAATCTTTGTCAGCTTCAGGAATACAGGTGCTGGTCATAAAATTAGAATATCATGAAAAAGTAGATTGATTTCAGTAATTCCATTTAAAAAGTGAAACTTGTATATTATATTCATACATTACATACAAACTCATATATTTCAGATGTTTATTTTGTTTAATTTTGATGATTACAAATGACAACAAATGAAAATCTCAAATTCATCATATCAGAAAATTAGAATATTGTGAAAAGGTTCAAAATTGATGGCCCCTGGTGCCACACTCTAATCAGCTAATTAACTCAAACCACCTGCAAAAGCCTTTAAATGGTCTTTCAGTCTAGTTCTATAGGCTACACAATCATGGGGAAGACTGCTGACTTGACAGTTGTCCAAAAGACGACCATCGACACCTTGCACAAGGAGGGCAAGACACAAAAGGTCATCGCTAAAGAGGCTGGCTGTTCACAGAGCTCAGTGTCCAATCACATTAATAGAGAGGCGAAGGGAAGGAAAAGATGTGGTCGAAAAAAGTGTACAAGCAAGAGAGATAACCGCACCCTGGAGAGGATTGTGAAACAAAACCCATTCAAAAATGTGGGGGAGATTCACAAAGAGTGGACTGCAGCTGGAGTGAGTGCTTCAAGAACCACCACACACAGACGTATGAAAGACATGGGTTTCTGCTGTCGCATTCCTTGTGTCAAGCCACTCTTGAACCACAGACAGCGTCAGAAGCGTCTTGCCTGGGCTAAAGAGAAACAGGACTGGACTGCTGGTGAGTGGTCCAAAGTCATGTTCTCTGATGAAAGTAAATTTTGCATTTCCTTTGGAAATCAAGGTCCCAGAGTCTGGAGGAAAGAAGAGAGGCACTTCATCCACGTTGCTTGAAGTCCAGTGTAAAGTTTCCACAGTCAGTGATGGTTTGGGGTGCCATGTCATCTGCTGGTGTTGGTCCATTGTGTTTTCTGAGGTCCAGGGTCAACGCAGCCACATACCAGGAAGTTTTAGAGCACTTCATGCTTCCTGCAGCTGACCAACTTTTTGGAGATGCAGATTTCATTTTCCAACAGGACTTGGCACCTGCACACAGTGCCAAAGCTACCAGTACCTGGTTGAAGGACCATGGTATCCCTGTTCTTAATTGGCCAGCAAACTCTCCTGACCTTAACCCCATAGAAAATCTATGGGGTATTGTGAAGAAGAAGATGCAATACACCAGACCCAACAATTCAGAAGAGCTAAAAGCCACTATTAGAGCAACCTGGGCTATCATAACACCTGAGCAGTGCCACAGACTGATCGACTCCATGCCACGCCGCATTGCTGCAGTAATACAGGCCAAAGGAGGCCCAACTAAATACTGAGTGCTGTACATGCTCATACTTTTCATGTTCATACTTTTCAGTTGGCCAACATTTCTATAAATCCTTTGTTTTTATTGGTCTTCAGTAATATTCTAATTTTCTGATATGATGAATTTGAGATTTTCATTTGTTGTCATTTGTAATCATCAAAATTAAACAAAATAAACATCTGAAATATATGAGTTTGTATGTAATGTATGAATATAATATACAAGTTTCACTTTTTAAATGGAATTACTGAAATCAATCTACTTTTTCATGATATTCTAATTTTATGACCAGCACCTGTACTTGTTAATTTCTGATCTTGTTTGAGAAGCACTGTTACTCCTCTGTCAGAGCATCAGCACTCCAACCTTATTTATATTAACCAGATGTGTAACGCTTCTTTTTGCCTAATTTGATATATCTGCAAAAACTTTATTCATTTATGCCTATCACTAAAAGTTCATCCTTGAATTAAACAAAGTTGAACATGAACTTGCTCAAAAAATTTGTGATTTGTGAAATATTTGTTTGAGTGTTCTGGGTGTCCTCCCACTTGTTGAAATTGATCCAATCATTTGTCCAGCTCGGATCAGCTACTTTATTGATTTTAGAATCTCAATGTTTGCAATGATTTTTAACTGGTCAGCAGTGAACGTGGTATTTAATGTGTTTTTTTGTTTTGTTTTTTGTGACAGAAGGATTTACTGGATAAGATCACGATGGCTTTAGGCTACTTACTGCAGCTAATTATTATGGACAAACATGCAGTTCAGAGAGTGGCTATTGAGCTAATTATTTAAGGAATCCCTTGATCCCCCCCCCTAAATATTAACAAATTTGCCATTTTTAACATGCAGCTGAACTTATTCTAATTTTAATGCCAGTGATCAGTTACCAGTACTTTTGAGGAGAGAACTTTTATCTGCAGCAAACGAAGAGAGGTGTGGATATGAAAAAAAAGGGACCGTGTTCTAACTGTAACAGAAAATACATCACACCATCTGCTGATCTGATGGAAACTCTTTTCTTTTTCAGATTTATTTTCTTGATGATTCTGTGCTTTTCTTTCCACAAGGTGTTTGATAAAGGACTTTGAGGCCCGTCCATCTGTGACCCACTTATTGGAGCACCCATTCATCAAACAAGTCCACGGCAAATATGTGGCCCTCAGTCAGCAATTAGCAGATCTTATCCGAGAGCAGCAGGAAGTTGGTAACAAAACCAGAACCAGGTAAGTCTTTAAAAAGAGTAATTTCCTAAGGTGTATTTAGAGAGTAAATGGCGGCCAAGTAGTGACAAATTATACTGTCTCTGTTAGGGTGAGGATCTCTCAATGTGGGATGAGTTGATTGCTGATATTATGTCTGACCAGTAGGGGGCATCCTCACATCTTGTTATATTCAAGCACACCAAGATGAGACCCAGCAATGGACATTTCTGTTTGTGATTAAAGATGAGCTTAAGGAGTGTGACTAAATCAGTGATTGTGAGGACTACCTTGAAATTGATCAATCTGATTTGGTTAAAAATATGTTTAACTATTAGTCATTTCCACCCAATTAACCCCCTGATTGGAGTAATAAATCTGTAAGTGTACTCAAGAAAATACAGGGTTCTGCAACAGCAGTTTTGCATTATAAAAAAAGTAACTGGTTTCTGGATCCACATATGACTAAAGGCGATTTTATGAGGTTAAAGCTTCACTCAGAGACTCCCAGGGCAGTAAATGACAGAGCTAACTGTGACCATTTTACTTGAGGAATACTGACTCTGGCGGTGCCTAATCTTTATTATAAAAGTGTTTGCTGAAGCTGCCCTTGACTGAGAGTCCTGATGCCTTGCCAGCTCTGTTTACTCCCAAGAGCCTGCAGAGTTGGTGCCTGAGCCTGATCCCGAATTCCTGTCCACAGAGAAAGTGGATAATGGGATTAGGAGCTTGTAGGGCGAGAACTGGGCTCGCCCGGTTTAGTCTCCCATGCCACTGATCGTCGAACAATGAAGCTGATAAGAATAAGAAAGACGTAAGGTACTTAAAAGTAGCTGCTGTAGGTGGAATAGTGTGATTTACTTCAAAGCGAGAGAGAGGCAGACGCTAGAGGTCTCAAGTCCTCCTCCAAAGGGACACAAGGATGAGGAGTCACAATTTAAGGAGCACAAGCCAAGCGTATTTGGTGCTACTGCTTTATCTGATTAATTCAGTCTATAACAAAGAGAAAGACAAAGGAAGAAACATTCACTTACCTGAAGCTATAACATGTTCACTCTTATGATTGATTATTTATCATAATAGAATATAGATACCAGGGTATCTATAATAGAATATAGAATATCGATAGTACCAGGGTATCTATAATGGAATATAGATACTACTAGGGTATCTGTATTGTGTTCAGGATTGAAAAGAGAAGTATTTTATGTCTTATTTTAGTTGCATAACCCACATACTGCAGTGTTCTCAAAGAAAAAAACTCCTTATGGTTTCTTGTAATTTGATGATGTTTTAGTTTCAGAACATCAAAAAATTGCAATATTAAACAGAGATAAGAGTAATTTAAAAACTCAAAACTCTTATGAATTTTGATAGCGGGCTGCAAGGTGGAGCAGTTTATAGTACTATTGCCTTACAACAAGAAGGCCCCACTGTGACTCTGATTGAATAAGCAGGCAAAGATAGACGATTGGGGGAATTTTACATAACAGGAAACAAAGGCAATCCAAACCAACCTGTACCTATGTGAAAAAGTAAAATACCTTAAATCCTATATCCCACATATGCAGTACATGCTGATTTGCAATGTTTTATTTCAGACTCTAGTGCACTGCTGGACTTTCTTTTTCAGGAATTTCTAGTAAAAAGTCAAATATATGGTTCCATCATTTATGGATTATGAAATGTAATCAAACTACTATTGAAATTCTGAAATTAAAAGGAAATAAGTTATTGGACTGTTTCTGATCATTTATTTAGTTTAATGATAAGCAAACAAGGAGAATAATAAAATAAAAACAGCCAGGAATGTCACAAGGATGCGTTCAGTTATGAAAAACCAATAAACATTTGAGAAAGATGCTTCTTTTTGGCTGAATTATAAAATCCTGCTGACCAACTGCAGGGGGAAGGAGAGCAAAATGTCAATGTAGATAATAAGTCAAAATCCTTGTGTTGGTCTGTCTTCTGTACTTAACTCACTAATATCTGTCTACAGAGCATCACTCACTTTTCTCTCACATATTTGGGACTTTTTCCAGGATTATAGCAAGTAATGATTAAAAGAAAGGCCAAAGAAAAATGACTTTGTACATCTGGAATACAACTTGCTCAGCATTTACACAATTTAGTTATGACAATATGTTATAATATATGCTTATCTATGGGCAAACTGGATAAAAATAATTTTGTCCTGAGGCTCTTATTGTGAAGAATTGCCAGATTTTGTATCTTAGGTTAATAATACAATTGGTATTGGTAATAATAGTCTTACCAATGCAGATGCTCCTTCTTCAGGGACAGATGGGTCATATTTTTCTGCATGTAGGGAGAAAAAAAAGGTTCTCACAGCCTACTTCTGTTTTCTCCGCCAAATAAATAGTTTGTTTGACAAACGAAGAGAAAATACTTTATATTAACGCAATAACTAAATACACTTTTAATGTTAATTGCATTTGAAAAGAGTTAAACTCACCAGCAGTATTGTAACTCTTTGACCCAGAATTATTTTTTCCCTTGCTTTTTCTAATAAATCGTATTTTAGTTATTCAACAAATTACAGCTTTCATTGTGTATATTCACAGTTCATCTGTACCAAACAGATTCCTGTCATTACTATTTATTTTATTTTGGTGTCATTTATTTTTTCACAAGTGTATTAAGTGACTCATCCTCACTGGCTGCCTATCGAGGTACTTTAACAATGTTTCAGCCTTCATTTTCTCTTAATGCGTCATATTTTTATATCTCAACTTGTTTAAAGAAGTAAGTTGAGTGTTTGTGTAGAGAACTCAGACATATGGTAGAAGACTTGATGCAATGCATATAGGATATGATGACATTTATTAATTATGGTATTTTATGTTCTACAAAGATGCAAATGTAATAAGAATGAGCTAAGTTTAATAACTTTTTAGTAAAAAATCTATCAGAAATCACAAGTTTTACAGGCATAACAATAACAAATTTTCCATTCTAAGAACATTTGAGGTCATTAAAAAAAAAACATATTTTGGATGTTCTGTGAACATAAAGATTATGATGATTAATCTATGCTGAGATAAACAGATCTTTAAAAGTCAAAACTGAGCTGCTTGTTTGGATGACCCACATTATATTTTGGAGTACTGCAATTATGAATTTATGTGGGTTATTAGAATAATCTTAATCTGATTAATGGCAATAGTCATTTGAGTGCTTCTTTTAATATTTTAGAGGCTTCAACAGCTTCATTATTATTGCTAAACTTTTTAACTTAGCAATTCTAAACTAAATCTTATAACTTCATGCTGAGGAATCTTAAACATTTTTATAAATAGCAACATTTCTTCCTCTGCCTCCTCTTTAAGTGCAAATCTTCCTCCTTCAGTTAAATTCCTGATGTTTATAACTTCTACTGATTTTTTCTAGGCTTCCTTTGCTTGAAATCTGTTGCACATCAGATCATGTTAAATATATTTCAAGACATTTACACAGGCCTGAAGCAAGACAATTGATTTTTTTGTGTTATCCATTTTCATCGCTCCCATTACCTTATTTATATTAACTGGAATTAAAAAAATAAAATACAGCTATAGAGATTATAACTATACTACCCCTCTTCAAAGTCCTTTTGCCACTGCAAAAACGATCTAGAAATAAGTAAAAATTTCCTTAATTAAGTGTATTCACCCTTAATTTGAGTAGGTAAATGAGAAAGTTTGCCAATGGAATGAGTAATTTTACTCTTAAAATAAGATAATTAGATAATATGCACTTGAAATAAGACAATGTAATTGTGTTTTCTTATTTTAAGTGTAAATTGTCTTGTTCCATTGGCAGAATGTCTCTTTTACCTCCTTAATTCAAGAACAAATGCACTTATTTTAAGAAAAAAATTACTTATCTAGATGGAGCTTATAACTTGCTGAGATCACAGTGTAACTTTGTCTACATTGGTAGCAGCTTTGTTTGTCAGATTGCTGCAGAAGAAGAAAAAAAATATGGGCATAAATTCAACAGACAGCTACTTCGCCCAGTAGTTTCACTTATTGGCTTGTTATACAGCAACAAACAGTGTACTGTGTGGGGATTAATAATGTGATGCTGGGACTGCACAGATTCATCAGTATGATGGATTCATGGTTGGCTTCTATGTTTCTTTTCTGGAATCTGTTGATATCCTCTGACACCTCTATCTTTTGATTTTAATTTAAAAGCTTGATTACTTGTAGAGTGCAGCGTCCGTATGTTTCTGCCCACACAGAGGACCTCTTTTTCCTTCCTTCTCACCACCTGTGGTTTCCCCTGAGGTTTTCATGGTGTCAGCCGGCTGTGTGTTGACCCCCGCCCTCATGGGACTCATGGAGAGTGATAGGTCAAAATACAGATGAAGTGCAATCAAAGCTGGTTATACTGGGAGAAGGGTCCCCTGGGAGAGCTTTATAGAGCTCTTTTCACCCTTGAATGGGCTTTGGTCTCACGTTCAGCATCAAACTATTGATGTCCTGCAATGGTTTTCAGGAATATCACGTCCTTTACTTTCAACAGGCACAAGCGAATCAATACTCGTAAAACCTTGATTATAGAAAGCTGCCCTGATGATGATCTGGTAAACCTGGAATTTCTTGATGAGGTAAAATTTTACATGTTAATTTCAACATGCATTATCTCTGATCCTTTTTATTTTAAAGTGTGTACATATATGCTTTTGCTTATAAAGGAGATAATAATCAGCCATCTCCAGAGGAGGTATGATGAGCTGCAGGTGTATACTTACGTTGGTGACATCCTCATCGCTCTCAATCCTTTTCAGAATCTCAGCATCTATTCTCCTCAGGTTGGTGGACAAACATTCACACTCATGTTCCCAAAGCCACAATGTTGCTTTGAGCAATAAAAAAATATTTTAATTTGAAGTTTCATACATGACTGTCTCCACCAATAGACATTTTCATCTACCACATATCTGTTACAGTGTTTAGCCATTACACAATTTACTAAAATAATTGCTTAATTCAGCTCAGATAGAAATTAAAAAACATTCAATTATGTCTATAGTTCTCTGCTTGAACATTGTCAACCAACTTTGACAGGTTCAGAATAAAAAAGTAGCTGTTAATTGTTTATATTTTGTCTGAGATAACTGTTTCAGTCATCGCCTAACATTTCTAGCCTTAAAAAAAAAAAAAATATATATATTTTTTTTTTATTTATTTATTTATTTTTTTATTATTATTATTTTTTTATTTATTTTTTTTTTTTTTACTGACCTACAATAAGGGATATGGAGAGAAAAAAAAAGTACACTGGTCTTTTAGGAAGATCCTACAAAATATTTGCCAGATTTCTAAAAATTCTTTGTCATGTTAACATGGATATGTTCTGTGATGCTTAAGCCAAATGGAGGACATTTGGACTTAAATAATAAACACATTGAACATGTGCTTGGCAGATGACGTGGATTACTGAATTTCCTTTTGGTATTAATGAGTTATTATATAAATTAATTGACTTTAAATGTAGTTGAGTTGAGTTGAACTGAATTTAATTGAATGGAATTGAATTGTTGAAAGCCAGCATTACTACCATTATTTATTACCATTGCATGCTCTACAAAACTCTGTGAGGGATGGTCTGACCATATTTATGAAACCTGTTCCTTTTTCCAACCACTGATTGGATGTGTTTATTGGCCAATCCATTACTGCAGTGGTTAAGGCCAATGTTAACATCTCAGAGTTTGCAGGATCTCACAAAAATGTTCAAGATATAAAAAAAAAAAAAAAAAAAAAAAAAAAAGTATTTTTTTCTACATCTCCCTTGCAGGGCTCAGAAATTCTCTTGTCATAACATTCATACATAAATTATTAACAATGTGGTAAATGGTAAATGGCCTGTACTTAAATAGAGCCTTTTCAAGTCAGACGACTTGACAAAGTGCTTTACATTCAGTCATTCACCCATTCACGCTCACACTGATAGTTCGTATCCTGTTTCAGGATACAGCTATTCCTAAAACAGTAATAGCTGCTAATGTTCATATATTATTAAATATAAATATGTATAATATAAGTTTCCTATCTTTAGCAAATTGTCATCATTATTTTTTTGTGTATACAAACTTAAATAAGGATGGAAATGGTAAATGGGAGAATTGGGGCTAAATAGGTAAAAACTGAACAGTTCAAAAGTCTTTACATTTCTCAGCCACATTGATTCAGACTCATCTGAATTTAAGTGGACTGCAAATGTGAATTTAAAACAATGCACTCCTTCTTAAAAATATATGTTTTCTTCTTTCTCAGTTTTCTAAGCTATACCATGGTGTAAAAAGAGCTGACAACCCTCCACACATCTTTGCCACAGCAGATGCAGCGTACCAAGGAATGGTGACATTCTGCAAAGACCAGGTCCTCTGGAGGAATATCGTTCATTAACTCATGAAGCCTTATATGCAGAATACTTTTATTACATTTCATGACATGCAAAAATATAGTTACCTTTCATGTAGTGTAGTCTAGATTTAAGTTAAATTTCTCTTTCCACTCTAAATAGTAAACAGAGAGCAAAGTAGACCCTTTTTTTACTCAAATTCCACTTGCTCAACTTTGCTGTTTTTCATCTGTAAAATTAGCAGGTATTTTTTCAGAAGTAGGCTGTATTCTTAAGTACTGAGAGTTAAAAAAAATGAAGAAAATGTGTACAGGTAATATGGTAATTGGGTAAGAGTTTGTATTTCCTGTTTATTAGTGCATCATCATCAGTGGAGAGAGTGGAGCAGGAAAGACAGAAAGCGCTCATTTGATTGTTCAACATCTCACCTTTTTAGGAAAGGTATCCTCCCTTTATGTTTATTTTATCCATTGGCAACTTTTTAAATACTGAAGTTCATATATTTTAAAGCGGTCTTTTCCCTCTGACTGAGAATCATCACATGTAATTGATGTCTATCATAGGCAAACAACAAGACTCTCCGGGAGAAAATATTGCAGGTCAACCCTCTTGTCGAAGCCTTCGGTAATGCCTGCACAGCTATAAATGACAACTCCAGCCGCTTTGGTAAATATCTGGAGATGAAGTTCACGCCAACTGGAGCGGTCATCGGGGCCAAAATCTCTGAATATTTGCTGGAGAAATCAAGGGTCATCAAACAAGCTGCGTGAGTGAATCCTTTCATTTGTTTCACATTTAAATTTGTGTTATGCTGCTGACAGCTGTTTGTTGTCTATTCAGGGGAGAAAAGAACTTTCACATATTTTACTACATATATGCTGGACTTTACCACCAATCCAAGCTGAAGACATACAGGCTGCCAGACGGGACGCCTCCCCGGTTTGTCCTGCACCTTAATACGCTGATTTATGCTGTTTATGCATTACCCTGATATAACGCATATAAATCTGATCACAAGTTAATCTCTTACTTAACCTACCTTTAAAATAAAATATGTTTCCTGCTATATGAAGTTCAGGTCCCTCACAGATCTCTTCTGTTTTTGCTCCTTTGTTACATGTTTCGGATTTCAAATACTAGTATTTCACAAAACAACACATTGTCGTTAACTGAGGGGAGTGAGCCTGCAGAAAGTTACAGTACATGTTGTTTTGGGTTTTTATGTGACCTCTTAGACTCGTAGTGAATACACTCTTGGAGTCGTTTTGGTTGATGAGCCACAGCAAAGACTATGTATGGTAGTGGCTCTCATTTTCTTGGACCTGGAACCTTCATGATGCCTGACCACTACAGGTCAGGGCATTAGGGGACAGTTTAAATATTACTTTAGAATGGTGCAGTTTATCTTTCCATATAGTGATAAGTTTGGTTTCTAACTTTGTTGCTTAATAAATGTAACCACTATTTGAAGAAGCCTTAGGGGCTTTAAATTTGGGAAAAATCTGCTTTGCTATTGATGAATATTGTAATGATAATACCAGTTATGACTAATCCACATTTCTAGAGTCTTTTTTTCCTCTGTGATCCCAACCACTACCTCACTACTAATACTGTAAATGAATGAATGAATGTTTCTTATATAATATTGACATGTAGAATTTACCTGTCGTGTCCCTTAGGTAAAATATCCTAATAATAGTCCTTAACAACACTGTATACATTGCTATTAGGTTGATACTTGAGATTCTAACTGTTGTGCATCTCTAGTGTTTACTTTGATTACAAATATCTAACATTTAGATTGCCCTCTACAAGCCTTTTAGGAAAATAAAACAAAAGGAGAACAAAGGGGCAAATACTTTTTCCACTTTAAAACAACTATTGTGATAAAGTTTTATGTTGAGTGTTTTTTCAAGATTCTATAAAATTTTAGATTTGAAGACCATCCACTTCCTATATGCTGTCCAGTACTATTCCAACACCTTCAATCTAGCACATGGTTATATGTGCATTTTTCTCTGCACAAAGACCAATAGATATATTTGTATGATTTGTATAACTAGTTTGATATTGAACCAATGAACTTCTATTTTTCACTGTCAAATGTGGGGAAAGTAAAACGAATGTTCAGACGTTTACTTGTATCTGTTTTTACTTTGGTTTTGGAATTTAGCATTTATTATCATCAACACCAGTATAAAGACTGATATGTTTAACTACCCTTTTATATTGGTATAGAAGGGAATTAAACATGTTGACACCTTACAGCTCCACTCCTAATATGTCTCTGCAGGTACATTGACAGCCAGCAGTGTAAAGTGATGCAGGACATCCTCTCAAGGAAACTGTACAAGGAGCAGTTTGATGCAATTCAAGAGTGTTTTAGAAATATTGGCTTCACAGAAGAAGTACTTTTCATAACTTATATACTTTAAGTATTTAAGTATTTTGTAAAGGTGCAATAATAACTGGACTTTTTTTTTTTTACTGTTTTTTTTCTTTTTTTCAGGAAGTCAACTCTGTTTACAGGATTCTGTCAGGCATTCTAAACACAGGCAATATTGAATTTACTGCCATCACATCTCATAACCACACAGATAAGAGTGACGTTCCTAACTCAGAGGCCTTGGAAAACGGTGAGATTGACCCTGAGCTCTTGACAGTCTGTAATCTTAAACCCATTTCCAACTGGCCGAAAAACCTGTTTAAACCAGGGAACACCTGGCTTTTAGTGGCAGTGGGAACAGCTGACTGCTCCAAATGACCTTCACCACCGCCTCTCATTCACAATGAGCTGGAAGCAACGTGTTGTTATTCTTAGTATTAGTACTATTCTATCCTTTTCCAGCGTTTGAACTTTTAAGATGGCAGACTGTCATAGCCCTTGGCAAACGGGTGACCAGCCTTATGTGTAACTAAAATAAAATTCTTTACTTATGAAAATTGGTCTGAATATTATTGGAGGTAATAATACACCAATAATACCACATATGTAAATGCAGTCATCGATGCATTCACCTTTAAACAATTTTTGCGAAATTTTGTAAACATTTCTTAAAATGCATTTATATGAACCCTTTGTAGGATTTATAGGAGCATTAAGAACCTGTTTCTTGTTTTTATCAAATTCCCCTGAAGCTACCTCACTCTTTCTAAATAACATTTTGGGTTTTATTTTAGAGGTAAATCCTAGAATTAAAACGAATTGTCATTTTTTCTCAGCTGCGTCTCTGCTCAGCATCGGCTCTGAGGAGCTTCAGGAGGCGCTGACATCTCAGTGTGTGGTTACAAGAGGCGAGACCATCATCCGCACCAACACCGTCGACAAAGCCGCCGACGTCCGAGACGCCATGTCCAAGGCCTTGTACGGACGCCTCTTTAGCTGGATTGTCAACCGAATCAACTCGCTGCTGCAGCCCGACATGAATATCTGGTGAGAGAGGGTGCTAATGATGAAGATCTTTGCAGATTTCAAGGCTGTCTTCCTTGATTGTCTTAAACACCTGCACAGAACCTCTGTAAAGCCCTGATGACCTCTGGAAGTCTGCAGGGGTGGATGCAAACATGCAGAAGAGAATATCAATGGGCACGCACAAGTCAAGCCAAAGAAGAGCAGAAAAAGTTGTAATAAATTTTTGATACAGAGTTGCGTGCTGAGAAAATAATGTTCAGATGATTAAAAAGACTTCAGAGAGACACCAAAGAGGCTCTGCATTGATCCAAAAGAATTCCTTTATAAAAATGAGCGTTGAGTGTCAAAGAGTCGTCTTTAAGCAATGAGAAAAAGCCGGAGTTCCTGTCTGAATTCAGCTCATCTGGGCTGATTTCTTATTGCGGTTAATAACTGGACAGGGCAGCCCTTTAAGGTGACCTTTACCTCCTACTGGGAATGACTACTTAAGAAGCAGCAGCATCTACATATGTAAAATATCATATAAAACCATTTTATTTCTTTCTATAACGCTATAAAAAATGTTTTGTTTATACACATACCGGTAATTAATAAAAAACAGAGGTGTGAGACTAATGCAAAACCACTCACTGAGCTTTTATAATTCCCGATGTCTGAAATATCCTCTCTGACTAGGCCGTCCAGATCCAACTCTGTATATGGGTTGAACTTGATCATTAAAGTTTTATCAATTACTACGGTTGCCGGGGGATTTGCTGCTTCCTCAAACACAGAAGAATAAGTTTGTTTGTCCCCCTTTTCTCCTTTGAAGTGCTGCGGAAAGCTGCATGAATGTGGGAATCCTGGACATCTTTGGATTTGAAAACTTCAAGAAGAACTCATTTGAACAGTTGTGCATCAACATTGCAAATGAGCAGATCCAGTTTTATTTCAACCAGCACATTTTTGCTCTCGAACAGGTGAGTTTTTTTTTACTACAGAAGATGATGAGAATGATAAACTTGCAAATTCATGAGCTCAAACTGCTCTTCTAATGTTGTGAAAGACGCAAAGAACAAGTCCTTTAAATCATCCTGTTGTGGAAATAATTTTTTCTCCGTTCTTATTTATTTGTTTGTTCTTAAATTGCTCTCTTGCTTGTTAGTAAGAAGCAGAGGAGTATTTATACTGTTGTGCGCCACAAAATTAGTCTTAATTGATTTAATGAAGTTGTTTACTTTGAAACGTTTCAAGTCTTTTTGCTTGATGGAACTGAACAGACATTAATGGAAAAATCCTTTTAATATAATGCTTTTAATTGGAACACAATAGCTGTTTTTCGGTAAGAAGGAAAAGTTGTTTTGTTACTGATGCTGAACTAAAGTACAAACTACAGGAGGAAAATTTAGAATAGAATATATTCTAGATTAGAATAGAATTCAACTGTATTGTCATTACACAAGTACAAAGCAAGAAATACTCTCTCTGCATGTAAACCATCCCGTTGGGGAGCAGTGGGCTGCCATTGTGGGGCACCCGAGAGCAGTGTGGGGTTAAGGGTCTTTTGCTCAGGGACCCAGAGTGCAGGCTGTGGGAGTGGGGCTTGAACTCAGAACCTTTTGATTCCAAGCACTGCAATGCCCCCAACCACTAGGCCCCCACTCCTGCCTGCTGGCAAATTTTCCTCTGCTCAGTCAGTAGGATTCATGTAAAGGATCATAATTGAACTGTAATGTTTGTAAAAGTATTCCTTCCCCCTAAATATTTAAAATGTTAGTACATCATGGCCATGCTGCATTTCTAAATAAAGGAAAATGACCTGAAAGTTACCTAAAAGTTTGATCCTCAGCTGCTACAGTTGTGATACAGTATTTTTCAACTGTGGAGGTCAGTTTAAAAATATTCCCACTAATTCTCCACCAGAGATGGGAAGTAACGAAGTACAAATACTTTGTTACTGTATTCAAGTAGATTTTTCTGATATTTTTACTTCACTTTACTACTTATTTTTATGGTGACTTTTTACTTCTACTCCTTACATTTTTACACAAATATCTGTACTTTCTACTCCTTACATTTTAAAAAATTGGCTCCTTACTTTAGTTTTGAATCGTTTCAATGGAGTTACCATTATTATTTTTCACGTCATCAATACCAAATTCAATCTAATTGGATGGGAATCTACGTTGCATTTGACGCACCACTACAAGAGGAATCGACAGATTCGGCGGTATTCATTCGCGGCAAATCATTGCAGCTTGGTGGCGGTGGCGTTAATATAGTAGTATGGACGACGAGATGATTGAAAATGAACACAACGGAGATCTAGTCCTATTGGCAGACATCCATTTAAAATGTAGGCAACGGCATGAAAAAAGTGGTTTCTACTTTTACTTTTATATTTTAAGTAAATTTACAAGCCTGTACTTTGTTACTTTTACTTGAGTAAAGAAGTTTAATCAGTACTTCCACTTTTACCAGAGTATTTTTTAACACAATTATCTGTACTTTTACTCAAGTACGGAAAGTGAGTACTATTGCCATCTCTGTTCTCCACTAGATTAAGACACCCAGTTTAACTCGACCAATCTAACAGATGAGGATATTTTTAAATGAACTATTTTATCCTTTCTCCACGTGGCTGTTTAGGGTTTCTTTCCTGTTATGTAAACTTCCACTTTCTTCTCAAGTCTTTTGCTTCCTTTTAAAGCTTTTACTTCTGTCTTTATCTCAGTCTATCACCTCTGACCAATTTCCCCATTTCTGCTGGAGAAAGACAACCCCACAGAATGATGCTGCCACCACCGTATTTATTGTTTTTTTTTTATTAGTGTGATGAGCAAAGCTTCTTCCACATACAGGTGCTGGTCATAAAATTAGAATATCATGAAAAAGTAGATTGATTTCAGTAATTCCATTTAAAAAGTGAAACTTGTATATTATATTCATACATTACATACAAACTCATATATTTCAGATGTTTATTTTGTTTAATTTTGATGATTACAAATGACAACAAATGAAAATCTCAAATTCATCATATCAGAAAATTAGAATATTACTGAAGACCAATAAAAACAAAGGATTTATAGAAATGTTGGCCAACTGAAAAGTATGAACATGAAAAGTATGAGCATGTACAGCACTCAGTATTTAGTTGGGCCTCCTTTGGCCTGTATTACTGCAGCAATGCGGCGTGGCATGGAGTCGATCAGTCTGTGGCACTGCTCAGGTGTTATGATAGCCCAGGTTGCTCTAATAGTGGCTTTTAGCTCTTCTGAATTGTTGGGTCTGGTGTATTGCATCTTCTTCTTCACAATACCCCATAGATTTTCTATGGGGTTAAGGTCAGGAGAGTTTGCTGGCCAATTAAGAACAAGGATACCATGGTCCTTCAACCAGGTACTGGTAGCTTTGGCACTGTGTGCAGGTGCCAAGTCCTGTTGGAAAATGAAATCTGCATCTCCAAAAAGTTGGTCAGCTGCAGGAAGCATGAAGTTTGCTTCCTGTTTGGACCTGTTCACTTCCTGTTTGGATTAACTGAGTGTGCAACTGAGTGTGCAGCTGTTCAGAGGATCTCCATCTGAAGTTAAGTTATTTTCTCTGTGATATCTCTGTATCTAAGTAACTCTAACTGACTACTTTAAAACATAGCACCTTCTGCTGCACTTTTCTACTGAGCACTTGTCAGTTTCACACGGTTTTATTTCTGATAGCAAGAAGTAGCTAGCCTAGGCTAGCGCTAGCTTAGCATTGCTATGGCTTCTCTCTCTCCCTCCCTTGACTCTTTTCCAACTCTTCGTTCTTCCTCTCCTCTCTCCTGCTCTCTGTGTCAGATGTTCAGTTATTCCTCTGCCTCCTTTAGTGATAATGGGATGTGTAATAAGTGTAGTATTTTTGTAGCTTTGGAGGCGAGGGTGTCAGAGTTAGAATCCAGGCTTCAGGCTGTTGAAGTAGGCCCCCCACGTAGCTGTCCTCCAAAAGTGCCTGAGCAGCCAGGCGATTGGGTAACTGTACGCAGAAAGCGTAGTCGTGGATCTCTGCCCACTGGTCACCACCAACCCGTTCACGTTTCTAACCGGTTTTCCCCACTCAGTGACACACCCACTGAGAAGCCCACTCTGGTGATTGGCAGCTCCATAGTCAGAAACGTGGCATTAGAGACACCAGGGACCATAGTCAAATGTTTGCCGGGGGCCAGAACGGGCGACATCAAATCCTACCTGAAACTACTGGCTAAGGATAAGGTTAAATACAGTAAGATTATTATTCACGCTGGTGGTAATGACACCCGGTTACGCCGATCGGAGGTCACTAAAATTAGTGTTGCTTCGGTGTGTAAGTTTGCCAAAAAAATGTCGGACTCCGTAATTTTCTCTGGTCCCCTCCCTGATCTGACCAGTGATGACATGTTTAGCCGCATGTCGTCATTCAATCGCTGGTTGTCTAGGTGGTGCCCTGAAAACAACGTGGGCTACATTAATAATTGGCAATCCTTTTGGGGAAAGCCTGGTCTGATTCGGAGAGACGGCATCCATCCCACTTTGGATGGTGCAGCTCTTCTTTCTAGGAATCTGGCCACATTTATTAGTCCTCCAAAACCCTGACCACCCAGGGTGCAGACCAGGAAGCAGAGTTGTAGTTTAACACACATCTCTGCAGCTTCTCTACTGTTACCCACTCTTTACTCCATCCAGACAGTGTCTTGCCCACGACCAAAATCTAATAAATTAGCAAAGATTCCCAAAGGAGTAAATCATGATAATCTAATTAAAATCAAAATAACTCCAATTGGGGAAAAAGTTAAAACAATTAAATGCGGTCTGTTTAACATAAGATCGCTTTCCTCTAAAAGTCTACTAGTTAATGACTTGATTTGTGATAATCACATTGACTTGTTTTGCCTTACAGCAGTGGTTCTCAAACTTTTTCTGTCATTCCCCACTTTGGACAAGGGGGAATTTTCAAGCCCCACCTGTCCCCATCGCCCCAACACAATGCTAATGAAATACGCAACAATCTTAAAATGTTCCAATTTTATTGAACAAGTAGTATCTAAATACAAACTATCTACATCAAAAGACAGCAAGCTCAAAAATAAAGAAAATAAAAATGCAGCTGTGTCAAAATTTGTATCAAGCTCAAAGATAGAAAAAATTAAAGTTCCACTCTGCAATCTGTTAATAAAAGAAAAGAAGTGAAATCCATCTGGCAAGACAGGTCTATTTATCCCTGCATTAGTGGCTGCAATGAGCCTGTTTTGCATTGCACATTTTCTCAAAACGGGGTTGCAGGCTTGATACTGCCACTCTCAAGTCATGCTCAATGTTCTGCTGAGATCTGTATTTTGTTTTCATTGAAGCAGCAGCTGAAAAGCCCATCTCACAGAGACATGATGTGGCAAAGGGAAGAAGAATGCACACAGCTCTCTGCCCGATGAGTGGATACTCCCTCTCCACTCCAAACCAGAATTCACTAAGAGTCTGAGCATTAAACCTGAGCCTTAGGGTGGAGTCAGACGTCATGTCAATAAACTGGTCCTATTTATTTAAGATAAAATATTTCAAATTCAGTTATTTATGATCAACCTGCGCCGTCAATCCCGGCGCATGTGCGCTTTATTTGCAGTCTGGATGCACATGCTGTGTCTCTGAGAGGACTCCTGCAATAGCGGGGGAGAACGGGGTTGGGATGGGGGAGGCGCCCCACGGCAGCACCTGCCGCTGGAGGACAAGAAAAGGAACGATACGTGCTTTCACGTAAGAGTCTCCAAAAGGCGCTAGATTTGTCGCTTTTTTGAAAAAGAGTCGCTGGAGGGGTCTGAAATATAGCGACAAAGTCGCGGAGTTGGCAACACTGGGGCGCGAAAGTTTATTCCGTTACAAATAATATGCCGACGTCACGTCAATCATTATTTTGGCACTTCAGTTCCAGGTGAAACTTTTCTCATATCTAATGTTCTGCATGTAGGCTAGTAAGGATTACTTTGTGGGTTTGATTGGTCTAAAAAGCGGCAACATACAGCTATAAGGACAGTTTGCTCTCACACGTTCTACATTTATAGTCACACGACACACACACACACATACACACACACACACATCGGAACTTGGCGCGCCCCACCTGTCACGTCTCAATTCCCCACCAGTGGGTCGCGCCACACACTTTGAGAACCGCGGCCTTACAGAAACCTGGCTGCAGCAAGAGGATTATGTGAGCATAAATGAGGCAACTCCTTCAAGCTATTTAAATTTTCACATCCCCAGAAGTTCTGGGCGAGGAGGAGGAGTAGCAACAATCTTCGAGTCTGACTTACTGATTACTCCCAAAACAATTAATTCCTACAACTCTTTTGAACATTTAACCCTTAATTTCCCTGATCCAAATTTCAAGGCAAGAAAACCTCTTCTTTTTGTAACTTTGTATCGTCCACCAGGTCCTTACTCTGAATTTTTAGATGAGTTTTCAGAGTTCCTTTCTGATTTGGTATTAAATACTGACAGGGTCATCATAGTGGGAGATTTTAACATCCATGCTGACATTGAAGGCGATAGCTTAAGAGCAGCCTTTAATGCTATCTTAGACACTATTGGCTTTGTTCAAATTGTGAATAGTCCCACGCATTCTCATCTTCATACTTTGGATCTTGTGCTGACATACGGCATAGAATGTGAAGAAATAACAGTATTTCCTCACAACCCTGTCCTCTCTGACCACTTTCTAATAACCTTCAGGATTACTTTAACAGAGTTCTCCTCCCCCAAAAGAAGGTTCAATTTTAGTAGATCTTTATCAGATAGTGCAGTTATAAATTTTAAAGAATCTGCTTCACTTTCTCTCTGCTCTGTGTCACTGAGCAGTGCTGCAGAGTGCAAAAGCTTAGCTTATTCCCCTTCACAGGTTGATGATTTTGTTGAGGGGGTTGCTAGTTCTCTGCGTATTGCCTTAGACAACGCAGCTCCTTTGAAAATGAAAACCGTTAAAAATAGAAAGCTTGCTCCTTGGTTTAATGCAGAGCTGCGTACTTTGAAGCAAAATGCTAGGAAACTGGAGAGAAAATATCGCTCCACAGGCGTGCGAGAGTCCTTCCTAGTCTGGAAAAATGGTTTACTGCTGTATAAGAGGACCCTTTGTAAAGCAAGAGCAGCATACTTCTCCTCATTAATAGAGGAGAATAAGAATAATCCTAGATTTCTTTTTAATACAGTTGCCAAACTCACCCAGAGCCATAGCTCTGTTGAACCGTCCATTCCACCTGCTCTTAGCAGCAATGATTTTATGGGATTCTTTATAAATAAGATTGATCTTATTAAAAATAAGATCATAAGCACTCCTCTATCCGCGATTGTACCTGAGGTAGTCATGGAATCTGAACCGGGTTTAGACTGCTTTGATCCAGTTGAACTCTCTGAATTAGCAAAATTATTGTCTTCATCTAAGCCTTCAACTTGTATGTTAGATCCAGTTCCAACCAGGTTATTTAAGGAGGTATTCCCTTTGATCTCCTCCTCCATTTTAGATGTGATTAATCTATCTCTGTTACAGGGATATGTACCTAAAGCTTTTAAGATTGCTGTAATTAAACCTCTGCTTAAGAAACCGTCTCTTGATCCAGATGACTTGGTCAATTATAGACCTATATCCAATCTTCCTTTCTTATCCAAAATTCTTGAGAAAGTAGTTGCCAAACAAGTTTGCGATCACTTCCACCATAATGAACTTTTTGAAGAGTTTCAGTCTGGCTTTAGAGCTCATCATAGCACTGAAACAGCTCTGGTGAAAGTCACTAATGATATTCTCATGGCCTCAGATAATGGACTTGTATCTGTGCTCGTCCTGTTGGATCTTAGTGCTGCATTTGATACAGTTGACCATAATATTCTTTTAGAAAGACTTGAATATTTTGTTGGAATTAAAGGAACAGCACTAGACTGGTTTAAATCTTATCTATCTGATCGAATTCAGTTTGTTCATGTTAATGATAGATCTTCAACACGCTCAAAGGTTACCTGTGGAGTACCACAGGGATCAGTGCTAGGACCAATTCTCTTTACTTTATACATGCTCCCAATTGGTAGAATTATTAGACAGCATGGGATTAATTTCCACTGTTATGCTGATGATACCCAGCTATATCTGTCTATAAATCCAGATGAAGCTAACCCATTACATAGATTACAGGAATGTCTTGAAGACATAAAAACCTGGATGACTCTTAATTTTCTGCTTCTGAATGCAGACAAAACAGAAGTTATAGTCTTTGGACCAGAGTCTCTGAAAAAGAAACTGATTAGCCAGTCACTTCATTTGGATGGGATTAAACTGATTTCAGATAATAAAGTAAAAAATCTTGGTGTTATTTTTGATCAGGACCTGTCATTTAAATCCCATATCAAAGAGGTTTCTAGAATTTCCTTCTTTCATCTGAGGAACATTGCAAAAATTAGAAATATCCTGTCCAGGGGTGATGCTGAGAAACTAGTCCATGCATTTGTTACTTCAAGGCTGGACTATTGTAATTCTTTACTATCAGGAAGTCCACAAACTGTAGTTAAAAGCCTTCAGCTGATCCAAAATGCTGCAGCCAGAGTTCTAATGAAAATGAAAAAGAGAGATCATATCTCTCCTATCCTGGCTTCTCTTCATTGGCTTCCTGTTAAATCAAGAATAGAATTTAAAATCCTCCTTCTCACATATAAAGCCTTAAATGGCCAAGCTCCATCTTATATCAGAGATCTGATTGTTCCTTATGTTCCTAACAGAGCACTTCGCTCTCAATCTGCAGGTTTACTAGTGGTTCCTAGAATTTCTAAAAGTAGAATGGGAGGCAGATCTTTTAGTTATCAGGCTCCTCTCCTGTGGAACCAACTACCAGTTTTAGTCCGTGAGGCAGACACCCTGTCTACTTTTAAGGCTAGGCTTAAAACTTTCATTTTTGATAAAGCTTATAGTTAGGGTGGCTCAGGTTATCCTGAGCTATCTCTATAGTTATGCTGCTATAGGCTTAGACTTTTGGAGGACATAGGGACCCCCATTTCATCATTCTGCTTCATTCTCTCTCTGTTCTCCTATTCTGCAGAATCTGTTAGTTCAATCTCTAACCTTCTGCTCTCTCTGCTTTTCCTCAGAGTAGCTTTGCCTCGTCTGTTCCTGTTTGGCTGTGACGTCATCCTGGAAAAAAACATCAGCTGTGCTGCTTCTATCAACACCCTTGTTAATAGATGTTGGAGATCGGCCTGTTTTCCAGTGTGGTCCTGTTTCTCTGACCGTGACTGAGTGGATGTGCTCTCTTCGTCCTCTGGCATGGGAGCTGCCTTGGAGCTCGTCTGCCTGGCTGTGTGTTTCCTGGACGGGGCCGCCTTTTACAGCTGCTTTTTGTATCTCTGCTTCTGTCTCCTTGAACCCCAGTCGGCCTCGGCAGATGGCCGCTCACACTGAGCCTGGTTCTGCTGGAGGTTTCTTCCTGTTAAAAGGGAGTTTTTCCTCTCCACTGTCGCTACAAGCATGCTTAGTGTGGGGGATTGTATTTGAGTCAATGAGTCAATGCAATCAACTGGTTTTCCTTAGATAGAAAACTTTGTATCAATTTGACTGTATGATCTGGTTGAACTGTAAAGTGCCTTGAGATGACATGTGTTGTGAATTTGGCGCTATATAAATAAACTGAATTGAATTGAAGTGCTCTAAAACTTCCTGGTATGTGGCTGCGTTGACCCTGGACCTCAGAAAACACAATGGACCAACACCAGCAGATGACATGGCACCCCAAACCATCACTGACTGTGGAAACTTTACACTGGACTTCAAGCAACGTGGATGAAGTGCCTCTCTTCTTTTCCTCCAGACTCTGGGACCTTGATTTCCAAAGGAAATGCAAAATTTACTTTCATCAGAGAACATGACTTTGGACCACTCACCAGCAGTCCAGTCCTGTTTCTCTTTAGCCCAGGCAAGACGCTTCTGACGCTGTCTGTGGTTCAAGAGTGGCTTGACACAAGGAATGCGACAGCAGAAACCCATGTCTTTCATACGTCTGTGTGTGGTGGTTCTTGAAGCACTCACTCCAGCTGCAGTCCACTCTTTGTGAACAAGATGAATCTTTATTTGTGTTGCATGTCTTTAGTGCTGCTGTGCTCAGACTGATTATTCTAAGTTGATGACTTAAACATGAAGATGGTTTAGAAACATTGGTGCTCCTTTATTAGTAAAATATATATTTAATATAACTTTTTGATGTGAAGTTAAGTAGATGCAATAAGAGGATACCACTGCGGGTTATTTGCACATTGAAATAAATTATGAATAAGTAAGTGGCTCTATTTGTTAGTTTGGTGCTGCTCTGTATATGCATTCAATCTATTATGCTGTAAACTTAAACCACAGAAACAAGCGCACACAAACACACATACAGCTGCAGAGCTTTGGTTGAGCTGATTATGAAACCCCCCCATACAAATGCACATGCACAAATAATACTGTTTTTACCCCAGATTATTTAATTGGGTCATTTAGAAAAACTATTAGCTGGTTTATTCTATTTTTTTTGCTCCTAATTAGATGGAATACCAGAGCGAGGGAGTAGATGCCAGCCTGGTGGAGTATGAGGACAACAGGCCCATTCTGGACATGTTCCTGCAGAAGCCCATGGGCCTGTTGTCCTTAATGGATGAGGAGAGTCGCTTCCCCCAGGCCACTGATCAGACCCTTGTAGGTAAGATTGTAATTACACTGGAAAGTTTTGTTCCCTTTTAAGAGCTGCAGTTCTTTAAGGGGTTTTGAGTTTTTAAAGCTACAGTGTGTAATTTTCAGCGACATCTAGCGGTCAGACTGCAGACTGCAGCAACATGAACGTCTCCCCCCCACCGCTTCTCCCCCCCAACAGTACGGCGAGCGTTACGGGACAAAATGTCTTCCACGACGTCCGCATCACCTACCTTCTCAAGTGATGAGGTTTGTTTACATAGATAATTTTACAGATAGTATTTCATTAGTCTGTGTAGGGTATAGATTTCATGTAGACTTAAGATAATAAATATACCCGTTATTTTTTCTACGTCGTTGTGACGTTTTGGTGAGCTGCTTTGCATGGTGATATAAACAGACGAAGTAATTGTAGTCATTAGTTTAACAGCGAGATTGTGTTCGCTGGAAGAATATATATTCCCCGTTTACAGAGTCCAAGTCTTGTTTGTGGCACGGGGGTTACAAGGCAAGGAAGAGGGAAAGGAAGAGGGCAGAGAGGCCGGGGTGAGCGTGCAGCTGGGGCCAGGCGAGAGAGGGGAGCCAGCGGGGTGAGAGCAGAGGAGGAAAGGCTTGAAGATCTCCAAAGGAGCCGGAGAGAAGTAACCGAGGTATATATCCAGAAAATTATTTTACAGAAAATTACTGAATCATTACCTGTGAAACGTCAGGGACGTTGCTGAATAAGTATACTGGAGAGTAACAGCATCATCACGCAGCATGTTATTGTTTTAGACAGGTCTGAGCATCCTGTACTCCAAAAACTGCAGTGATATTAGACAATTGTGTGTATAGGATTAATTACCTGTCCAAGAGAAAACTGGCAACTTGAGCGTCACTTTGAAAACCTTTTTCCTCCATCAGTGACTTCCATCGTGTAAATGCCGTGCCAATGTTGATCCGTGTTTTTTGTCGTTTCTTGTCACTCTTGCGTTTATTCTCGTCGTGTTTCCGCTTCTTAGATGACGGGGGTTCGGTGTCCGCCGCTTTTCGTTGTGATACAGAGTAGGCATGATCCTCCATTCGTCTGATGTTTGGCCACACAGTGCCAAACAGTTTGCAAAGTCACTCACGCCTGCCGCCTTGTTTACCTTTCTTGTTACCGAGGCGCAGTATACCTGCTTCTTCTTCTTCTTTGGTTTCAGGCAGACTAAACGCTTCTCAGGCATAATACTGCCATCTACTGTTCAGTACCGTCTCAGTTCATCTCTCTCAACTTGCCGTAGTTATTTTCGAGCGTCATGGGAGATCTCGCAATCGCTAGTTTGTTGCCTCTGCGCTGCCGTAGCGCAAAGATGTCAGCCTCCATGGCTGCGAGACCCGCTCCTATGTAATTATAAATAACGAATTCTAAGGCAACGCAAATGTTATGGTTAAAAGGCTGAGCTCATAGGTGATGATAAATAACATAGTTATGTATAATATATTAAATTTCTGAATTTATATGCCTGTAATTATTACACACTGTAGCTTTAACAAATGACCAGGTTGGTTTGAATACCTTTTATTCCTTTAAAATGGAATCATTATTTGAGAATCACAATTTGTCTTTTTTCATGACATCTTTGATATTAAAATTAATTTGATTATCTAAAACGATTATATGTTATAAAATGGCAGATAGGAGAAACATGTAAAGGAGAAACAGATTTTTTCGCAGCATAGCTGCTGCTCATTACATATGTAAAGCTATTTAACACCTTGTTTTATTCTTTTTTTTGTATCTTGTTCACAGATAAATTTGAAGACAATTTGCGGTGTAAATATTTTTGGATACCTAAATGCATGGACCTTTGTTTTGGAATACAGCATTATGCTGGAAAGGTATCAAATGTTTGTTTGCATTAAAAACCAAACTGTCTTATTTGCAAGTGTTACAGAGCTGGGATTTAATAATGCATTCACAGAGATTCACACAAGGTCCTGGTTGGATACCTGCATTTTATACAGCACAGATTATTTAGATATATACTCCATGCTCAGCAGTTTGATGTTAGACCAAGATGCAAAATTAGTTCATGGTTTGAGTTATCTATTGCATTACTTTAAACAGGGCTGAATTTGTAATTGTTAGCAAGTAGTTTGGTAAAGTGGGAAGCTGCTCTAAACAAGTGTTGTCAATTAGCCCTTCAGGTTATCTTTATTGACATTATAAAATCGGACAATAACTCAAGCACTGCTTACAGTTTTTCTCCAGAACAAAAATCTTAACTTTCATAATGCCAAGCTAAAAGCCCTCTCCTGCATATCTAGCCTGGATGACAGTAGCTTGGCCTGAAGCAACCACTTGAAAGCACTAATGGAGACGTCTCTCTAACGGTTACTTGAATCTTTATGAAAACATTTCTTTCCAACAATAAAGAATACAAACTTATCATGTCCAATAGAATTCTTCTGGAACTCTCAAACTAAACTAAACAAATAAAGGAAAAACATAATGTGATGTGAATGTAACATGCAATGAAAAGCAATAGAATTTGCAGCGGAGTAAAAGTACAAGTACTTAATGTTAAATGTAGTGGAGTAAAAGTAAAAGGTATCCATGATTAAATCTACTAAAGTAAATTACAGGTACAAAAAAATTTACTTAAGTACAGTAATAAAGTACTTGTACTTCGTTACATCCCACCACTGAATTTCATGAGTAATGTTGGTGGGGCCCTGCGATGGACTTCCGACCTGTCCAGGGTGTACCCCGCCTCTCACCCGTGGACAGCTGGAGATAGGCACCAGCATCCCCTCTTGACCCCAATTGGGATTAAGCGTGTCAGAAAATGGATGGATGTTGGTGGCTTCAGAGGTCTAAAGGGTTGAAATGGTCTATCTATCTTCTTCCTGGTAGCCACTGTTTCAGTGGTAGAGAGCAATGACATCTTTTTGTTTTTTGAGTTTTTTACGGCACTAGTGGCTCGCTTTTATGGACAGTAGGCTGACAAGAAAGGGTGGAGCAAGGAGGAGAGACATGCAGGAAAGGACCACAGATTCGAACCCGGGTCACTCGAGTCGAGGACTAAGGCCTCCATTCATGGGTCGTGTGCGCTAACCACTGTGCCACCAAAGCACACCCAACTTTTTTCTAACCTAATCAAAAACAGTTTGCTTGGCATCTTCTCGTTTCTTGCTTATACACTATGTTCTATGTGCTCCATATCGAGTGCTGTGAGGCTAAACAGTGACAGTAGGTTAACAACCGACCTAAAAATGGCTATATCTCTAGTAAAAGATGTCAGAAAACTATATTCTCCACCCAGAGTTAGGAACTATATGAACTATACCCAACTATATCTCCACATTGGTATTCCAGAAAAGTTAGTAAGTTGCTATAAATTTTCAGAAAAGCACCTGGTATGTTCTGGGAAAGTCTTGGGGAAAAGAGAACCCAATAAGTTATTAAAGTGTAAAAAAAAAAAAAAAAAACACAATAGTTTTAAGGAAGTAAGCAGTGTTTGGAGTAATGGAATTATCTAAAAGCAATGTTGGCATTTTTGTTATTAAAGCATATAAAAAGTAAGCAATTAGCTCCAACAAGGTATGACTGTATCTGACTGTATGACTTTTTTTTTCTTATACAGATCATTGTTTTTAGAGCATTGATTGGGTGCTTAAAATCTAAGGGTTCTGCTTCTATCTGTCGTGTCCTGCTCCACAGGTGATGTACAATGTAAATGGATTTCTGGAAAAAAACCGGGACACTCTTCCTGCAGACATTGTTTTGGTGTTGAGAACATCGGAGAACAAACTACTACAGCAGCTGTTTTCCAGCCCTTTGACTAAAACAGGTATAACAAGGGAAAAATAATGGCACTTTAACTCATTTTAGGCAATACTGTGACAAACATCTTAATGGAAATGGAAACTTTTGAGGCAAACTGTTTGTGTGATTTTGGTACGGTATAAGTGAGTCTTCCAGAAAGGTTCAGGTAAGTGCGTTTCTTAAAGACGTGGCTCGCAGACATCCAGTGGTCCTCCTCCACTTCAAGCCTCTGCGCGCCATTCTCGGATAAATCTGCTCTCTCCATTATCTCTTGAGAGGCTCAGCTCTCTGCACGGCGCTCTGTTTTTATTTTCACTAAGCTTTCTTTCTTGGTTTCCCACTGCTGAATGCTATCTGCAGATTGTGGGTACGGAAGGGATATTTTATGATAAGGTTTCTAAATACCCGGGGGATGAGGAAACAGTATTTAGGGAACACAAAAGCAACCCGTCCCACCTCTTTTCTGTTTTTTAAATGAAGGCAGAGTAATGTGCTTGTCATTAGCCAAAGCTGAGGCCTCCTGGTCACTTGACTTAGCTGAAATGCTAATAGATGTTTTAAATTATCAGATTGCTTTTCCTTTATTTCAGCTAAGCCACATTATGTGATCCACATCCATTTTAGGGAGGGCTGTAAAGTCTTTCTTTCAGTCGTGGCTGCATTAAAGAGCAGCTTCTATTCATAAAAGACACCCAAGCTGTGAACATTTGTGATGTGTCTGTAAACTTCTATTGCAGGTTGTGCACAAGGGAGCCTTCAACTATTTCCTCCTGCAGTTAACAGCTTCAGAGGAGTGCATCCCATAAAAGCAAATGCATTGAACTCATCTTTTCAGTAAACAGCAGCACTGAATAGAAGCTAAGATGTGCCGTATTGTTTACTGGTAGAGCCATTTGCGTCTAAAAGCTTCTTTATTTTCTTGTTTCACAGCTTTTTTTCCGCTGATCATTCAGCAGGTAAAGACACACTGATGTGTGGATTTATCAGTGAAATTAATTGTTTATGTTTATTTTGAACTATCTTAAACGCCTTTAACAAAGCTTGGTGTGAGCAGTGTGTATGTTAAGAGCTGGAGGTCTGGTTGTCTTATTGCAGTTTTTGAAGGCACAGATCATCTCTGAAGATTAAAGCTATGAAACACTGGTGTGTCTTATCACTCTGGAAAAGATGGAGCCCTGTTCAAAGTGAGATACAGCATGGCTTAAGAAAATTAGAAATCTATTCTTCAGGGTAGAATTTGTAGGGGGATTTAATTTGCATTTCCACTCCACGATATAGATTCACTGTTATCTGTGAAATTACCATTATCTGTGAGGATCTGATGGAAATCTGTTTTTGCACCCGGGTGGTTTCAGAGTTTTTAGTGTCACCACTAGGGGACACCCTCATAGACCTGCAGACTCTCCAACTGAGGTATATTTTTGTTTCGGAACAAACTAAAGGATAATTTCATCCAACCTCTTATTTCTTTTGTTTGTATTTTTGCAGTGCTGAAATGTATATAGTATCATTGTGTTTTAAGTTCTAATAAAAAAAATACACGTAGTTGTAATATTGTTTGTGTTTTGTGGGCAGCAGGGGACTAGGAAAGCCCCACAAAGAAGAAAATCTCCCAGGCAGTGAATAGAGAGTCCACTCGAGCCTTAGGAAAAATCAGTCCTTGAGGCTTGGACATGTGGTGGTGTTTTGTTGGAGGAAATAGGATGTATTTGCATGGACAAATTCCTCAGAGCCAGGGTCTTTCCCAGATTGAGGGAGGGGGATCAGAGTGTTTGAATTGGCACAGCTCGGTAAGGCCTACCAGGGCCCAAGCTGCCTACAGTCACAGCATGCATGTATGTGTGTGTGTTGCCTCAGGGCTGCCTGGGCCTGCTGATTGTACATCCTAAGACTGCAAGTTCTTTGTTCAGCACAGTGATGTTACAACATAAAGTGTGGCTGTATTTATTACTGGTGTTTGTTTTTTATCCCTATAAAGTAGCCGTCATTTGCAGCTCCTGGTCTGATTTGATGTGGCTCCTAATTCAATCCAAGGAGGGTACATATTTAGTTTGAATTAAAGCAACATCTTCATTGACTTTGAAATGTGACAATATTTGAAAAAAAACAACAACTTTCATCTCTAATATTGATGGTTTTTGATCACGGTAAATAGAAACACAAAGCTTTTACTTTTACTTGAAAGCAGACCTGAGTGAAGCTAAATATGCATTTAGGTAATTTAATAAACTTAGCTAAATATGAATAAATATTTGAGAAATAACCATCAAAATCCTGTTCTTGTTAGTGAGAATAGAATACATATATTTAAAAAAAATGGCAAATCTACAAAGTGCTGCAATATTGTTAAGATACCTGTTCATGTATATATAAAAAAAAGGGTCACCCGTTAACTCATATTGGACCAGGCCCGTAGTAAATACATAAATGTAATCCTCAGAAAGAAATGATGGAAGGAAAAGGCTCAACGAAAAACATACCTTTTCGGTCTTCCCACCAAATGTGCCCTGGGTAAGCATCCTATTTCTGTCTTCACTAAGGGTATGGTCCAATATGAGCAGAGATGGCAAAAGTACTCACTTTCCGTACTTGAGTAAAAGTACAGATACTTGTGTAAAAAAATACTCTGGTAAAAGTGGAAGTACTGATTAAACTTCTTTACTCAAGTAAAAGTAACAAAGTACAGGCTTGTAAATTTACTTAAAGTATAAAAGTAAAAGTAGAAACCACTTTTTTCATGCCGTTGCCTACATTTTAAATTGATGTCTGCCAATAGGACTAGATCTCCGTTGTGTTCATTTTCAATCATCTCGTCGTCCATACTACTATGCTAACGCCACCGCCACCAAGCTGCAATGATTTGCCGCAAATGAATACCGCCGAATCTGTCGATTCATCTTGTAGTGGTGCGTCAAATGCAACGCAGATTCCCATCCAATTAGATTGAATTTGGTATTGATGACGTGAAAAATAATAACGGTAATTCCATTAAAATGATTCAAAACTAAAGTAACGAGCCAATTTTTTAAAATGTAAGGAGTAGAAAGTACAGATATTTGTGTAAAAATGTAAGGAGTAGAAGTAAAAAGTCGCCATAAAAATAAGTAGTAAAGTAAAGTAAAAATATCAGAAAAATCTACTTGAGTACAGTAACGAAGTATTTGTACTTCGTTACTTCCCATCTCTGAATATGAGTCTATGTTTGATCCCTCTAGTGGTCTGGCGAACTGTTGTTATCGTAGAGCTTGTTTGCATCTTTTCAGAACTTAAAGTTGTTTTTCTACTTGAAAATTTTCTTTTTCTTTGCTTATATTTTGTTTGTGTTTAAAGAGGAGTTCACATGTCCTCTTGGAAGGAGGCCCTGTTTATCGGACAGATAATCCTTTCATGTGTGATGTGTTAAAGCTGGGCTTACACTGTACAATTTTTTTGCCCTTTTCGTGCGAGAATTTTTCAATCGGGCTGAGTTTCAGCCTGATCGTACGTCGTGCATCGTTTAGTGTACAGGGGGTAACGAGGGGCGATCAGCCTCTCACAAACACCTCTCGACCAGGAATTTTGAGGTCGGGAGAAAATCAAATGTTTGATTTTCAGTTGACTGTTGTGAGCAAATCGCTCAATGGGCATGCGCAACAAGGATTCTTCTTCTTCCTCTCAGACGAAAACACAGAAGCATGGCGGGGGTGCGAGTGAAATAGAGTTCTTTCTGTCAAATTGACAGACCGTAGTAGCCATGTTTACTCGCCATCTGTATGTCCAAAAATGTCATTGCCTTTTCTTTTTAGGGCCTTAAGCACAAAATTGCACAAATTGCTAAGGCAGCGCATTTCTCTCTAGTGATTTTCATATTCCTCTTCTTGTCATGATCTTGTTCAGGGATCTGACCCACATGCAGGAAACCACTCAGAGAACCAGGGGAGAGGTTTAACAGGTTTTAGTAAAAACACGATGAGATGGGTCCAGTGTTACTCTGAACGCTTGTGAACCAGAACTGGAAGTGAGAAGGGAAGTTCAGTGTTTAGTTCAGGCTCAGTGGGAAAATTGAGCGACGACTTGCAAAAGCAGGAACTGTAACGGGACTCACGTTTTCTGAAAAGGTGTCCTTCCCAGAATCATGTCGGTGTGCGTTGTTCCAGGATTTGGTTGAGTCGTTGGAAGGCAGACAGGGTTTACTCAGGTTTGGTTGGTTCCTTGAGGAGCGGTGGAGCTAGCTGCCACTTAGATTTACTGAAGTACTTGAACGGTTCATGTGGAGATTTATCCCCTGCTCAGTGTGAAGCTCAAACAATCCTTTCGGTGGGAGAAGGTCCAAACTTCCAGCCCGCATCCCCCGCTCAGTGGGAAGCTCAAACGATCCTTACAGAGGGAGAAGGCCCAAACATCCAGTTTGCAGGATGACTCCCCAAAACTGGCAAACACTCTGGCATCAAGGTATTGGCAGTCAGCAGCTTAAGAGTCCTCAGATAATGAGGCAACCATCCGCAGGTGTGTGGAAGTGCCAAAGAGATCCGGGCGCCACTTGGTGGTTGGAGGGAGAAAACACAAAAACACAACCGACACAAACTGGATTCCTAACACTTCTACTGGTTAGAAGCTACAAGTAGCTCCATCTCGCTGCGGAGCTGAGTCCGATGTGGTTCTACCTGCTCACAGTGTGAAACCATAGTCATCTATACCACTTAACTCTCGTCCGCCTTGAACACCCGGGACAGTGTGTCAGATTTTTGCATTCCTAGTCCGGGGCCTGTAAGACAGAGAGAAATTAAAGCATCCAAAAAAGAGTACCCACCTCGCCTTTCTGGGGTTAAGTCTATAAGCCGACTTAAGGTATTCCAAATCTTGTGGTCAGTCCAAACCAAGAATGGAACCTTGGACCCCAACTCCAACCAATTGTGCTATTCTTCCAGTGCTAGCTTTACCGCCAGCAGTTCCTGATCCTCCACATCATAGTTCCAATCGTGACATCCGGCACACATGCAATGCATCAATCAAAACAAGCCTCTATCGAAACAACTGTTTGATTTT